AATATGTGTTCCATGGATATGCAGACTGAACATACTATGTGTACCATGGATATGTAGGCTGAACATTCTGTGTTCCATGGATATGTAGACTGAACATACTATGTGTTCCATGGATACATGTATGCAGACTGAACGTACTATGTGTTCCATGGATACATAGATTGAACATTCTATGTGTTCCATGGATACATGTATGTAGATTGAACATACTGTGTGTTCCATGTATATATAGACTGAACATACTATGTGTTCCATGGATATGTAGACTGAACATACTATGTCTTCCATGGATATGTAGACTGAACATACTATGTGTTCCATGTATATATGGACTGAACATACTATGTGTTCCATGGATATATAGACTGAACATACTATGTTCCATGGATATGCAGACTGAACATACTATGTGTTCCATGGATATGTAGACTGAGCATTCTGTGTTCCATTGATATGTAGACTGAACATACTATGTGTTCCATGATATGTAGACTGAACATACTATGTGTTCCATGGATATGTAGGCTGAACATTCTGTGTTCCATGGATATGTAGACTGAACATACTATGTGTTCCATGGATATGTAGACTGAACATACTGTGTGTTCCATGGATATGTAGACTGACCATACTATGTGTTCCATGGATATGTAGACTGAACATACTGTGTGTTCCATGGATATGTAGACTGAATATACTATGTGTTCCATGGATACATGTATGTAGACTGAACATACTATGTGTTCCATAGATATGCAGACTGAACATTCTATGTGTCCCATGGATACATGTATGTAGATTGAACATACTGTGTGTTCCATGGATATATAGACTGAACATATTATGTGTTCCATGGATATATAGACTGAACATATTATGTGTTCCATGGATATATAGACTGAACATAGTACGTGTTCCATGGATACAAAGACTAAAGATACTATGTGTTCCTTGGATACGAAGACTGAACATACTATGTGTTCCATGGATATATAGACTGAACATACTGTGTGTTCCATGGATATGTAGACTGAACATACTATGTGTTCCATTGATATATAGACTGAACATACTATGTGTTCCATGGATATATAGACTGAACATACTATGTGTTTCATAGATATGCAGACTGAACATTCTGTGTTCCATGGATACATGTATGTAGATTGAACATACTGTGTGTTCCATGGATATATAGATGAAACATAGTAAGAGATTCATGCGAATTTACATCAACAAACATTTTGAGTTTAAGAATGGCTTCTTGTTCTTGTTCAAACTACATGTACTACTTTAACTTGCCACTGTTAATTCAAATACAACAAATTTTTGAATAGGAGCACAACCATGTGTTACAATGTCAGTAGCCAAATAATTACAAATAAAATAGTTCACCTACATGTACATGTATCAGTAGTAATATCCCACACACAATTGAATTACTGCAAAAAGTGGTCACCAACTACAATGTAATACAGAGTGTGTTATAGACCACCAGGTGACAAACCATGCAACAATAAAAACTCATCAATCAACCGAGAATTAATGTTTAACGCTTTCTCTCTTTGTTTTCATTGTACACAAATGACTTGCAGTCAAAATGTCAAGAGATCTGACCTAAATGTATTCCTGTTCACACAATAGCAGTGTATAACACTAATATAATAAGTTCCATCAATGCGAAAAAGATGATTTTGGTGCAAATAATAAAAACGAATGACACAGCTTCATACAGCATCCATATTAAATTTGTACAAAATATCTGAAAACAAAGGTGTATGGTGCCAGAAGTATACATTATGAGAAAAATGAAAAATAATGACTTGCCATGTGCTTTTCCATCTAAAAAAGCAGTATAGTGTTAATAACAAATTTTATTGGTCCATCTTTCAAGGTTAGATTTTACGAGAATAAGGAACCATGTTTGGATTATTTGATTTGTGAAAATGCAGCTTTTTACTGCCTTATACTAAAATATGTAGACCCTCTGAAACGCTATTTCCTGCATTTTGACAGGGAAATTTTGCTGACACAAATGGTCAAATGTTTATTGGTCTTAGAAACTAGGGGAATTATCAGAGCATGGGTTTTATTTTGGAAATCCTGCCAGAGCAACTGCACAAATCATAAGGGCAAATAAATAGCTTCTAAGTATGGTATTCCCAGAACAGCACTAGTTGTTCATGACACTCAAAACTTTAATTCTCAACAACGATGAAAGGACCAGTTACTGCAACAAAGCCCTCCTCCCCGCCCGATACGAAACACACTTATCGAAAAGCTACTAGTATATTAAAAAGAAAACAATTTGAATACTTATTTACAATATATAGTTTTCCCTATGTATTGTACAAGAACATGTCTTTAAGACATATAACTGGGAGAAATACAAAAA